GTCACTGTCTTAGGAGCTTCAGGCTTTTCAACAGGTGTAGGTGATGAAGAAGAGACTTTCTTATCTGCATCATTACGAGTGTTCTCGTTCGCAACTGCTTCCTCTTGCTCGTTTACCTACACAAAGGTTCAGGTAAATGGAGTTACTAGATACTACATTTCTCGACCAAATATATCCGTATCAAGTTCAATTCACTGATCAAAGTAAAAAGCTTACGTTTTCGACTGTTCCACCACTCAAGATATTCACCAAATCTCTCTCTACCCGCTGTACAAGCTCCGGCTGCAACATTTTGTCAATCAATACGTTAAGTTTAAGCTCAAGATAACTCGAAAAATTCTCATTTCTTTTCTCTGACTCAGAATCACAAGAACCAAACTAACAAAATGTGAATTACATTAAGGTCAGGCTCTCGTCGGAATCTTCTCTTTCGAGCATCCTTCATTGGAGGAGTTAAACCATGTTTGTATTCAACTGTATTAGGCGCGGGATCACCCGGTTCCCTAACCATAATCATCTGTGTGCCAAATTAAAAGCTTTTTAGTCGAAATTTACAACGCGCAACACACATAAGCAAGCGAAAGGACGAGTCAAGTAGATTGATTATTACCTGACCAATATCAGCAGTTTTGACTAATGCACAATCATCATAAGTTTTAAAAGACTCAACAACAGCAGGAAGGTCAAGCAACGAAGCCGGAAACTCTTCGTTTCCAATCATAAACGTTCCGCTTCTACCGTCCTCTGCAAATTCAATACACACAAACCCTAAAGATTCAAGTTTGCTCTGCAAATTCAATTCACACAAACCCTTAAGATTCAAGTTTGCTTCAGAGACAATGTTATATGGATTTGAAGTAATTCAAGAATGATGCCACAAGAATGTACCAATTCACACAAACCCCAATAAGTTGCTCGACAAGACAATGATTAAACTTTAATCCTTAAAATCCGATTCAAGAATGTCTTTCAGTTTCAGGGTTCTCTAACAAACATTCAAGAACAGATTTTACAATCCGATTTTGTTAAATTTCCCATTCAAAAGACATAAATTTAACAAAAAAGGAAGAAGCTTTGAAGGGATTAAACCCAAATTTTGATGTGGCAAAAAGAGACAAAAAAAAACCTTAACTTTGGTGAGGAACCAAACCTGAAAAACATAAATCTAAAGGGATTTCGTCGGAAGTAGAAGCTTCTTCGCTTAAAAGACGATCAATTCGCTCTGAAACAGACGGTGGAACCCTAAGTATGAACTGTTCTTCCATTAAAGACTTTTGGCTTTGAAATCTTCCAGATCAACCAAATAAACAAGAAATTTGTGGAATTGAATTGTGCAGATTGTAACGAAGACGTATAATTTTTGCTCTTATGAAAGAAGATGTCGCAAGTCGAAAAGAGAAGAGAATCTGTTGATATCGCAGGAATGCTTTGTAACAACACTTTGTTATGTTAATGTAGGAAAATTGGTTTTAGCAAGAGAAGAGACATGATATATTACCTTCTAGAAGAATCAGTTTCTTTAAGCTATTTTCTCCCTACAAGTTTTAATATTTATGTTTTGACCAATATAATTTTAAATCTACAAATAGAACCCAACAGTTAAAGAAATATTGATTTTAACTTCTCTACATATTGTAATTTACACGATTATGAATATAAAAATACGAAAATTAATGTTTCACAACATTTAAAAGATATATATAATTACTAGAAAGTGGAGATTACTAGAAACTGAAGACTATATTAAATTTTTGAAAATATATCACTTATAAAAATATTTATTATTCTTCTAATTTTATATTAAAAATTTAGTTTTTTTTCTTTATGTATGATAGTTTTTACAAACTCATCTAAAACAATTTTTTTTACAAATAAAGTTTGTACAAAGATATGTTTTCTTTTTGTTCGTTAAAAAATTGTTGTTCTACATTGATTGGATGTGGATGTATGTCATATTTTTAATTAATCAATAAAAATGCGTTAATTGT